TGTATTTACCCTTTAACTACAGGGAACAAGGAGGGAAGAAGCTGAACTTCAACACTCTAGTGTATACTTAAACACTAAGAACAGAAAAAAAACTACAGCAGTAGTTTTTATTGATTGAAGACCAAATTACTACATTTTTCTATAATGCATCAGCTATATGTTCACTGAAATGCAACAGTTAGCCCCCCTCTGCAAACAGCAGTAAAGATGTGAGCCTGTTTTAATCTGCATTGAACCCTGACGGTAGGGCTATATCATGCAAAGTTATTTGTTGATAGTGAGTTATGGAGACATTGATGGCTGTGGTGAGATCGACGAGTAAACATAAGGTAAGTAGTGTATGGAAATATATTTTATGTTGAATTGCAGATTTTACAATAAGTATACAATATATAGAGTATACAATAAGTGTTCATAATTTCACAGGTTGTAAACCTTTTATTCATTAAACACCCCATATAAAACCCAAGCACTGAATAAGAGTACTAATGTACTTATGCAGGTGCATGTACAGTACATTTGCAGATAGCAATAGGTTGTCACCACCCTTGCATAATTCTTTATATGTATACAATACTTGAAGAAAAGTACATCGTAAACGTAATATACTTACGCGGTTCTTTGCGTGATGAATATCTTATTGTTACTCCCCTTTACGCAAACATTATGGTTTGTTCTTTTGCAATTTAAAGAAAAGTACAATGTTATTTGACTGTACTTACGCGGTACTTTTCATGTTGAATATCTGGTTGTTACCCCCTTACTACCCAAGCATTACAGTTTGTTCACTTATATCTACGTAAACGTTATTTATACTTACACTATTCGTACAGAAAAGTAAACCGTTATTTCACTGTACTTACATGGTAATTTTCATGATGAACATCTGGTTGTTACCCCCTTATTACCCAAGCATTACAGTTTGTTCCTTTATACCTACACATAAGTTCATTATACTTACACAGTATGTACAGAAAAGTACACTGTTATTTCACTGTACTTACTCGGTACTTTGCGGGTTGTAAAAGAAAGCATTACCAATTTTTATTGTGCTGTAACAAACATGGCCAACCAGACACAATTATTTTGCTTTTTATTCAACAAATGAGCTAACTTTTGCCCAAGGAAGACTTGATGGTCAGTGGTAATCCGATTCCAAGGAATTTATGACCCAAAGGAATGTACCCACAGCACAAAAGAACTGAACAAGACTTCTTTAAGCTCCTTGCTTAAGACTAATGTTTTAATGTAAACTTTACTCTCTCTTTATGTGTAATTATGTGTTTTGCAACGTTTCCCTTACTTCTGTATTAATATTTTGGTTTTAATACCTCTGCATAAAATGTTTAACTCTACTGAAGCTAAACAAGCTCATTAACTGTTCATTTTATTGTTCTGACATTTTATTTTAATACGAGTGCAACATATTACCATTTTAAGAGACTTGAACATTTCTGCCTATGCAAATTCATCTGCCTTGAACAAAGAACCTTAAAACTCATAATTCAAGGAAGTTAGATTCTAATTGGTCAACTTTCCATGGAGGGTGGATCCAAACCCGCCCTATAAAGCTTGTGTTCAAAAGCAACACCCTCTCTCTTGAAAAAAGCTCTCGTAAAAAACTTATGCGCCTAACTGGGTAGGATAAACTTTTAATTTGATAGGAAAAAGAAAATTTACAATCTAAGGAAAAGAAGACCAAATTAATGAATTGTGTATAAATTAAATAAACAAAAATTGAGGGAACACTTCAATCCTGCCTCAGAAATGCGAAACAACCACAAGAGTAAACTTAAATATTTTATTATTTGGTTCTCAAATCAATTAACAATTAATGAAGCATACGTTTTCATAAGAAGGATTAAAAAAAACAACAAACAAAAGATCTAGCTCAGTGGTCCGTTCTTCGTACCTTGCTTAAATGATCTAAGATGATTTGGCAGATCCGGGATCTTTTAATTTTGATAAATATCTATTGTTTGTTTAATATGACACGCAATAACTTTCCACATTTGTTGTGAGCTGCAGGCTTTACACTTTCTTGTGTCAAGACAAGAGTATTCATCATGTATTTCAAGGCATATCAATGTACTTAGTTCTACATGTAGAAAGGATTTTCTTTAGAATAACTGGATGTTTACAAAAGCATTTTGATATTGGTAAAGGCATAATGCAACTTTTGTGAAGCATAATCACTGGCATATTAACTGCCAACACATGTTTATGACTGCATTAATGTATTATTTATTTTTTTAAAAAGTCACATATTCTGCATTTCTATTATCATACACAAATTGTACTAAAGCAATCTAAAAAGTTCATATAAAAAAAGTTTTTTCTTTGCACCACCAGGTGGCAGTCTTTGTACTTTCATTTCGGGGATGCAGATTGCATAAGTTTTATTAATATATATAACTTTATTTATTTTATTAATAACTATAACTTATATAATATAACAATTTCACAAATGCAGACAATAACATATGAAACCAACAAAAAACTAAAAACAATTACAGTGATCATGAACTATTGACGGGCGAGGTAGTGGCGCGGTAGGTAGAGCTGTCATCTCACAGCAAGAAGGTCGCTGGTTTGAACCTCGGCTTAGTTGGCGTTTCTGTGTGGAGTTTGCATGTTCTCCCTGCCTTTGTGTGAGTTTCCTCCAGGTGCTCCGGTTTCCCCCACAGTCCAAAGACATGTGGTACAGGTGAATTGTGTAGGCTAAATTGTCTGTAGTGTATGAGTGTGTGTGTGAATGTTTCCCAGAGATGGGTTGCGCCTGGAAGGGCATCCGCTTCGTAAAAACTTGCTGGATAAGTTGGCGGTTCATTCTGCTGTGGCAACCCCGGATTAATAAAAGGACTAAGCCGACAAGAAAATGACTGAATGAATGAACTATTGACTGAATTGAATTTTTTACAAGATGATAGTGAAATGAAAGGCTTGAGCTTTAAGGTCTGCTGCAGATGATTCCAAGCATCAGCAGCAGAAAACTGAAAAGAGTGGTGACCAAATCAAGTGTGAACTTTGGGTATGCAAAGGTTAATGAAATTACTAGAGCACAGATTTCGACGTGTTTCCTGAATGATAAGAAGTGACTGCAAACATAGTGGAGTTTTTCCAATAAGAGTTTTGTTAATGAATAGAAACCATTGAATTTGTCGAAGAATACAGTTGACAGTGATGAGTATTAAATAGTGCATGATAATTAATGACATGTTGCTAGCTTTGTTTAGAGACAAACTGCTGACCTGGGCTAAGACATTTGTTTGACTTTAGGAACATTAAACTAAATAGACTACTTTATATAAAGGGGTCTTAAGAATATGTAGCATTTTTAAGAAAAAAATAATGATTTATTGATTAGTTCCCAACAACAAAGACCACATTCCTAAAGTAATTAACTCTACAAGTAATATGGCTATTAGTAAAACATTTTTTACAAACGTTTTAAATGCAAGAAAAAAAATTGAAATGAACAGTTGACACTGTTTGAAGAGACCAATAGTGTGGAGGAACTATGACATCAATTTGTATGCAAAAACCCGGGAGCGAGTCAGCATTTTAGCACTTCCGGTTCCCTCGTCCCAAAGTCAATGGGTTTTTTGTATGGGGTTCAGTAAAATCGCTTAAATAAGGTCCGTGGCTAACACAAATTCAACATACTTTCACGTTTTGTTCTATGACATAAAACACATCAGTTACAGCACCCTCTTCAATTTTTAATTCGGCCATGCTTCTTTAAAAAGAAGGTTGCTATCAAGTTGTTGACTGTCATTTTAACGTGATCTAGTGATTTCTCGTCTTTTTTTCTTCATCTGAACACATTTTACTCTGTCATAACTGCAATATTTACACTCCTTCATAAAACGTATAGCAGATGTGACTGTATTGGGCTGCTTTTCGCTGTACGTCGTGACATAAAAGGAATATTAAATATGTTGCTCTGTGTCCATGATGATGGAACTTGCAGGCATTTGATAGACTTGTTCCTCCTCACGCCTCATTTCTGTCGTCTGTTAAGATAAGCAAGCTGTGTGCACGCGCGCGATACACTTATTTAAATATGTCTGATGATAATACAATGTAGGCAGATTTATACACGCAGTTTTAAAACTTTTAGAACAACCGCAAAGCAAAACAGATGTATTTACCACGTAAAAACGGTCCAAAAGGCACGTAGGTGTAAGTGTTTTTGCGTATTTATTTGTTTATAATATATAGCGTGGATTATAATATAATAAACAGAGACTCTTTGTCAGGGATATTATTTCTAAAAATAAGCTTGACAAGTCGTCTGTAGCAGGGTGGGGCTGACGTCACAGGCGGGCGCCCTGAGGGCAGTGTAGTCCATTTATAGCCTAATGTTAGCTTTTCAAATCTTGCGTTTGCATTTAAGATCCAAAAGTGCTCAAAGTTGTATTTTCGTGTGAGGATTATCCGGCTGGACAAAACATGTAAGTGTAATGAACAGTGTTTGAACACAGAGCTTATTATTTGCAATCTTCGAAAAGCCTATGGGAAATTTGAAAGGGATTTTCACGAGGGAACCAGTTTTATGCTAGCAGCCGATTAGCCTACAAAGTGACGTCATAGTTCCTCCTCTCTATAAGGGTTGGATCAGGACATACAACCTGTATGGAGAGTTTTTATAAACTTCCATTGGAAAAAAAGGGCGATCTCTAAAAGTGAATTTTACATGGTACAGTTGCTGTTTATTCTGTGATTAACCCAAATGTATGCAGTTTATGTCCTGTTTGTGGAAAAAAAAATAGTTTTATGTAGGGTATGAGACTGTCAATTATTTGATTTTTATCTTTTTTGTTCAGTAAGTTTAATATAATCTTTATGGTTGAGAGTTTTATTGGGCATTGTTGGGTATCATTATACGCAATTTTTTTATTATTATAGGTGAATCAAAAATGGCAATATATATAAGCAAGATTCATAAAATTGAAGAACTAGGTGTGTGTTTGTGTGTATGTATATATATATATATATTTTTTAAAGCTCTATAAGACTTAAATTTCTTTTTCTATCAGTGTTACAATGGTGCAATTTGCTATGTTAAAAATATTTTTTTTCTTTTTATAATGTTTTATAATAATTGAGTCTATAATTATTTTTCTTCTTTGGCGTTATTGTATTAGAAGTGTTTTGTGACTATGAAAATGTAACATAAATGTCTGGTAAATCTCAAATCTGCTCTATGATAATTAACAGCTTTTTAGCTCTATGCTAAAAAACACAACTTTTCTTACAGGTATATTTATTGTAGTGTAATGTCTGACAATGAATTTATCTATAGCACAAAACATGTTTATATCTCAGTTATTTTCCTTTTATAATATACAAATTGCAATGTATTATTTTAGCAAGTACAGTTTATATTAATGACTATTTATTTATCTTCGCCATGACATGCTTTTTAGTGTTAATTTCTGGTCTCAGTAAAATTACATAGCACTTTGGCAAGAAAATACAGAAAAGTAATCCAAAGGATGACACCAAAATAGCAAATATCTCCACAGCTACGATAAACTTTCCAGGAGAGCTGATATAAGCTGGGATAAATGTGATCCATACAGCACAAAATATGAGCATACTGAATGTGATGAATTTAGCCTCATTGAAATTGTCAGGTAGTTTCCTTCCGAGAAAAGCCAAAACAAAGCAAAGGACAGCCAGGAGACCAATATAACCCAGTACAGCCCAGAAACCAGTAGCTGAACCTACATTGCATTCTAAAATAACTTTTTCTTGGTAATGCTTCATGTTCATATATGGAAATGGTGGTGATAATATTAACCAAAGTGCACATATAAGGAGCTGTATAAAAGTAAAGCTAACAACACTGAGTCTTTGTTGAAGAGGCCCAAACCATTTCATGACATTACTTCCTGGAAGTGTAGCTTTGAAGGCCATTAACACCACTAATGTTTTCCCCAGAACACATGAGATACAGAGGACAAAAGTGATCCCAAACGCTGTGTGTCGCAACATACACGACCACTCAGTGGGACGACCAATGAAAGTGAGTGAACAGAGGAAACACAGAGTCAGTGAGAAGAGCAGTAGGAAACTCAGTTCTGAATTGTTAGCTCTTACTATAGGTGTGCTTCTGTAAATATAGAAAATAAGTGTGACTACTATAGTAAAAAATGCCCCAATTAAAGAAAACAATCCCAAAAGTATTCCCATTATTTCATCATATGACAAAAATTCAATTTCTTTTGGGATACAGGCATCTCCTCTTGTATTTGACCACTGTGTAACAGGGCATTTAAGGCAATCAACTGAATCTAGAAAAAAGAAAGTCAGATACTTATTAATTTGAAATCATAATTGAGGATTGACAAAATGCAAGGCTTTCAAATATTGTACCAGTTTTGTTACTAATCTCTCCTGGTGGGCACAGTATACAGTCATAACAACAGACCGGTCTTCCTTTCTGCATTGCTTTCCTGGTGCCTGAGGGACAGCTTGTACTGCACACAGATACAGGCACCTGCAAAACATTCAAATAATATTATATGTATTATTGTGGTATTTTCTCACATGCGAGTACAAAAAAAGAAAAGAAAAAAAAAACAAAAAAAGAAGTTTACCTGATCTCCCCCTTCTCTCCAGACTACCTTAACATTATTCATGGAGAACCGTTGATCTTTAGGCAGAGAGGCATCATAGTAGCCAATAGTTTCCACATCTATTTTGCCTCTGTCAACACTTTGAAGATTGATCAGCTCATATCTTGCTGGTGAATCCCCGTTGCTATCAAAGAAGACACTTTCTCCCCCAGGTGTTGTGAAATTTACACTTTGCAAGGAGTTTAAAAGCTTTCATATGCAAATAAAATAAAAGGTTCAGTTGTGCAAGCTAAATAAACACAGTATATTTTATACAATTCTAACAAAATTTTCTGGTCTTACCTGCCAAGGCTTTATTTCTGCAAGTTTCAGACAGGCGTTAGGACTGGAGCTTTTATTTTCCTCACATAAGAGTAGATTATTAATTGCATGAGCTACCGCATAAACAGCTTTATATATATTGTTTGAGAACCTTAAGTCAGTCAAATCTGTAAAAGAGTTTTGCACATCACTTAAGTTTTCAGATCCATTACACCTTTTTGTTAATTTACTAGTAGTGAATGAACAGTCAAAGACATGCTCCCAAAAATCTTTAACAAATATGCTGTTAGGAAATTGAGAGGGATTAACTTTCTGTAGAAAAGAGCCCAGTCCAGGTATTTGAGCATTGCGGACAGCAAATCCAATAGAGCCAGTAAGTAAAGTGTGACCATAGATATCTGCTAGAGAGTCATCTGTGATCCAGGCATCACTGCCAATCCACTGCAGTCCTGTGACATTCTGCTTGTAGAGCTCATCTACTAATAATTTGATCTCTCTGTGTGACATGAAGGCCATTATTACCTTAGATGTAGAGCTTCTTATGATGTTCACAATTCTCAGTATTTCAGTGTATTGACTTGTACTTTCAAAGGCTTCAATGTATTCAATGCAAACCCCTTCCTCAGTAGCAGATTTGATAAAAGTGGTTATCCCATCTATACCATAATCATTTTTATTGCTTAATGCCCCCACCCATGTCCAGCCAAAATGTCTGACCAGCTGGGCCAGTGCTCTGCTTTGATAGAAGTCATTGGGAATAGTTCTGAAAAAGGAGGGATATTCCTTTCTGTTGCTCAAGCAAGCACATGTAGCAAAATGACTGATCTATCAAAGAGAAAATTTTAAGTGTATTTGAAATAGTGAAAGTATACATCAAATTTAACAATGCAAAAACACAGCTTACCACAGGTATATGAAAATTTCCAACTATTTTTGCAAAGCTCATAGTTGGTGTTGATCCAGAATGTCCAATGATGGCTTGCACGGTTTGAGGTTTAGAGCAGTTTGCTCCTGGTTCTGACTGCTCTTGATTATTAACTAATGTCATTGCAGCTCCTAGTATGTTACTAAATCTTCCTTGATCTTTTTTTGTAGTAATAATAACAATCATTATTATTTATTTACATATGTATTGTTTTTATAATAGGGTAAAACTCTCTCTCACACACACACAAAAACACATAGAGGGACAAATCGTTTTCATCTAGGGTGTCACTGTATATTATTGTTAAACACCCCAAATGTATTATATTATGTATATATATATTATGTAAAACTGGGCTCTGCAAAATAACACTTACACAAACAAATGTATTTTACCTGAGGTTAATTTATAATAATAATAATCATTTTATTCAATTCATTTCTCTGAGAATGTCAGCCATTCAGTTTGACGTTAATTTACCCATGATGTGCTTTTTGGAATTCTTGTCTGGTTTAAATAAAATTACATAGCATTTTGGGAGAAAAATGCAGAATAGTAAACCAAAACTTGAAGCTAAAATAGCAAATATCTCTACGGCCACAGTAAACTTCCCGGGCGAGCTTACATAAGCTGGAATAAAACCAATCCATACAGCACAGAATATGAGCATACTGAATGTAATGAATTTGGCTTCATTAAACTTGTCAGGCAATTTACGTGCCAGAAAAGCCAAAATAAAACACAAAAGAGCCAGACATCCTATGTAACCCAGAACAGCCCAGAACCCTATTGATGAACCTACATGACATTCTAAAATGATCTTTTCCTTAAAGTAATTAAAATTTTTAAAGGGAAATGGTGGAGAAATTGTTAACCAAAGCACACAAATAAGCACTTGTATGAGTGTGAATCCAAGAACACTGAGCCTCTGTTGAGGAGGACCAAACCATTTCATGACATTACTTCCTGGAAGTGTAGCTTTGAAAGCCATTAACACCACTATTGTTTTCCCCAGAACACATGAGATACAGAGGACAAAAGTGATCCCAAACGCTGTGTGTCGCAACATACAGGACCACTCAGTAGGTTGACCAATGAAAGTGAGTGAACAGAGAAAACAACACATAAGTGAAAACAGAAGCAAAAAGCTCAACTCTGAATTGTTGGCTTTCACTATTGGTGTGTTTTTATACCGGAAAAATATGACTGCAATTATCATTGTTACAAATGCACCAACAATGGAAATCGTTGTAAGCAAGATTCCCATGATCTCTTCAAAAGACAGAAATTCAGTCTCCTTCTCAACACATACATCCTTTTGCAGATTTGACCACAATTCTTGATGGCACCGCAGACATGTTACTGAATCTAAATTAGATGTAATAGATAAAATGTACAATAATTAGTTTTAGTTCTGACCTAACAATAATAATTATTTATTAAATTTTCCATTTTATTATTTTACCTGTAGTGTTACTGATCTCTCCATCTGCACATGATATGCAGTCGTAACAACATATAAACTTTCCCTTTTTAACTGCTTTTCTAGTGCCAGGTGAGCAGCTCTCACTGCACACAGATACTGGGACCTGCAACAGAAATTCCACTTGCACATTATTAGCATGTTATTGTCTATTGCATAGACTTCCAATAGTCATCATCATCACACACAACATTTTTTCATTGTTTTATCCTCACCTTTGTTGCATTATTTGACCACACAATTGAAGCCACATTCACTGCCAAACGATCTTTCACAGGAAGAGAAGCATCATAAAGCCCAACAGTGACAAACTGATCGTGTTTTCCATTACTCGGGTGCCAATTTATTACCTCATATCGTGCAACTGCCTCACCATTCTCATCAAAGTATACATCCTCACCATCTTTGGTTTTGAAACGTACCTTTCGCAGGTGCTTCAGAAACTGTTCGTGAGATAAAATAGTTTTTAATAATAGCAGTCAACCTTAAACATTCTGTATTTTATTTATCGTTTTTAGTCTAGATATACCCACAGTTATAGGATCAAGCTGTTTCTTTGAGGCACATTTTTCCTTGCAGCCCAAAAGTTCATGAAGAGTGTGAGCAACAGCATAAACTCCTTTGTACACATTGCTGAATATAGGCATAAGTGACATGTCAGTAAAACTGTTTTGCATCTGGGACAGTTCTTCATTGCCTGTGCATGCATTCATAGACACTGAATCATCCTTGTTGGGGTATTTACACTGATACAGTGATTCCCAGAGCTCTGAAAATATGGTACTTCCAGAGGATTTTAGTTGTTTGATGTTTAAAATATATTCCTTTAGACCTGTCACTTCTGTTTTGGGTATTGCTAGACCAACAGCCCCTTGTAAAATGTGATGCGTATCCATAGTGGCAATGACTGAATCAGAGATCCATCCCTCTGTACCTACCCACTGGTATCCAGTAATATTATATTCAACAAACTTATGCAACAGAACCTCCAAGTCCCAGTGCACAAGAAATGCCACAATCACTCGTGAAGTTGAGCTTTTAATCTGTTCTATTATCCTTATTACTTTATCTTCAGCATATGTTCTGAAAAATGGCACAGAATATTCCAAACAAATTCCCATCTGTTCAGCCACTTTGGTGAAAGTGGCCATCCCATTATTACCATAATCATCATCTGTTCTTATGGCTCCCACCCAGGTCCAGCCAAAGTGTCTAACCAGTTCTGCCAGTGCTCTGCTCTGGTAGTAATCGCTCGTAATAGTTCGAAGAAATGAGGGGTATTTGACTTTGTCACTGAGACATTCACAGGTGGCATAGTGACTGATCTAAGAGAGAATTAAAAGCTTTACTAGTATAAATACATTTAACTTACTGTTAAGTTATCATACGTTGTTACATTTTCTGAAACTCCATAGTTTATAAATGTTATCATTTTAATGTTATGTAAGAAGAAATTATACCATGGGAAGGTTGAATGGTCCAATAGTTTTTGCCATCGCCATGCATGCCGATGAGGTTGTGTCTCCTAGAATGGTTTGGACATATGCCTGCTTTGTGCAGGGTCCATCGGACGTTGTGTTCTCATGTGCATTAGCAAGTGCCATAGTCACTCTGACAGCCATTGCCATTGAACCACATGTATCATATATCCTGTAGCCTAATGAGACCCCAGGTATCAGAGTGGAACTGTTATTGATTTCCTCCACAGCAAAAAGCATGGACTGCACATACTGGAAGTCTCTATAATTTAGGCTTGTATAAATGGATAAATGAATGAATAATTAAATAAATACATATGTAGCTAGATAAGCATCCAAACAAATGACATAAATAATCTTTATATATATTAGGGCTGCACAATAATGGAAAAAATGACATTGCAATGTATTTCTTTTCTTTGCGATCTATATATTGCGATATGAAAAACTTACTAACAGTATTTGGTTATTCAAACAGATTAATCAAATGTAAAATAACACTGCATTGTCTTCATCATATACATTTTTTTATATTGTTATTACTTTATTAAACTTCTTTATGCACTATTAAAATGCTTTACAGTCTCTTAAAATGCTCACACAGTCACAGGCCTTAAAACACATGCAGATAATAAACTTTCTCACTTTCAAGGTTAAATTGTGCAGAAACTCTTGCAGCTTTGACCTGTGGTTTCTAGTCAACTACAATCCCAACTCATTATTGCATATTCTGCGATGTGACTACACACATTAAGATATTAAAGCTCACATTATATATTGTGCTGATCTAATATTAAAAATTATTATTATTATATCTAATATTAACTAATATTAAAAATTAACCAATTTGTTTGATATACCTGATGCACTTCAGCGGTGGTGGTGTAACAGAATATGTAAGTTGTCTGATCTCCCAGCTGCTATGGAAGGAGAAAACACCTCCAATTATGATGTCTCCATCTTTCCATAACTGAGGGTACACAGGCTGTCCTTGCAGAGTACAGGCAGTTTCATTGGCCTTGGCAAAAGAAATGATGTTCATAACTACATGTATGAGCGCAAAAAGCGGCTCCATACACCCAATAGACACTGTGCTGTACCAGATATGAATGCAATAGGTTGGAACTGGTAATATTTTCTGTTATTTATAGTGATGAGAGGTACTAAACCTCTATGGGCAGTGACACATTTGGACTTTTCCACCCTGACATGATAAAGGGACCATTCTGTCTATATGTCTGGTTAGATTTTATTTACATTACTTTCAACTTTATTGTCATTACACATGTACCAGTACAAGGCAATGAAATGCAGTTTAGGTCTAACCAGCTGTGCAATAGCAGCAAGTGCAGGATACAGGTATAAGTTATAAAGTGCAGTTATATAAAACTATGTTGTTATTTACATATGGGTGTACTATGAATATACTATTATGTATAGGTTGGATTAGCTATGAACAAATATTTTAAATAAATGAATATATGCACAGATTGCTAGTAATAATCAGAACAGTGCAAAAATACTTACAAATGTCCATGTGCAGTGGGTATGTACAGTTTAAATAAATTAATCAATTGCAATGTAATATAATGAATATTTGCTATTTTTAAGTGTGCAAATGGTAAATAGTGCAGTGATTATGAGGAGTATAAGTTAGAGGAGAGTGGGGGTGTATTTGGGGGGCAAAACAGTCAGTGGGGGGCAGAATTCAAAAAGGAGACAGCTCTGGGGAGAAAGCTGTTCCTCAGTCTGCTGGTTTATGTCCGGGGGAGCCTGAAGCGCCTGCTGGAAGGCAGGAGACAAAACAGTCTGTGAGCAGAGTGAGAGGAGTCCTTAAGGATACTGCGTGCTCGGCGCAGACAGTAAATATTTATAAAATAAAACTATATATATATAAATATATATAATTTTATTTTATTGTTCTTTTTTAAATTGTTAATATATATATTTTTTAATTTACTGACGTAGTACTACTAACCGGAATAATAATACATGTGGATTTTGCAATTATTATATCATTAGTCTACTAATAACCTGCAGAAAGTCTGTTATAATTGATTTACTAATTTTTGCTAGGGTTGGGCTGCTTGGCATTCCCTAGGCCCAATACTTGTGCTAGATGGGCGCATAACTGCCAAGTACTACCAAACCATTCTGGTGGACCATGTGTTCCCAGTAGTTCAAACGTTGTATCCTGAAATCAGTGCAGTGTATCAGGAAGATAATGCACCAATACACACAGCACGACTGGAGACAGTGTGGTTTGATGTACATGAAAGTGAAGTTGAACATCTCCCATGTCCTGCACATTCATCAGATCTAAATATTACTGAGTCACTTTGGGGTGTTTTGAAGGAGAAACCGCTTGCCTCCACCAGCCTCACTTAGTCACCTGGCCACCATTCTGCTAGAAGAATGGCTTAAAATCCTTCTGGCCACTGTGCACAACTTGTATCTACCATACACAAGTTAAATTTATGCTAGATTGCTGGGGCCCTGCACCATACTGATGAGTTATTGTGGTCTAAAACCACCTATTTCCGTGTCGTTGTCCAAGCCCTATATATTGGTACAGGTGAGTGATCACACGGACACAGATACTCATTTTAAGTTCCCGTAGGGCTGTTTATTTTTGAGTGGAGAAAGGGAAAAGTGTATTGGGATGTGCAGGGCAGTGAGTTCAGTGTCCAAGGGTCCGGTGTCCTTGCTGAGGGAAATGCCGGTCAAGTTGCTTAGTGTGAGAGGAGGACTCATGTTGTTTCCAGCTGTCATCGTGCTTGCCGTCTCCCATGATGGTGTCTATTAAATACTCCTCTCTCAATGAGCAGCAACTGTCCCTGTTCAGCACGTGAGGAGTTTTGATTAAGGTGAGAGAGTTGTTTTAATGGCGATGCTGATGCCACACTGGTAGGTCTGCCACAATATGTACAGGGTACGGAAAGTACTAAAAACCCCTTAAATGTTTTTTTTTGTTACCCTTTGTTACATTGCAGCCATTTTCTGAAATCATTTAAGGTCATTTTATAACTTCATTAATGTTCACACAGCACCCCGTATTGACAGAAAAACACAGAATTGTTTTTTTTTTATTTAAAAAGAAAAACTGAAATATTACGTGGTTCTAAGTATTCAGACCCTTTACTGTGAAACTCATATATTTAACTCGGGTACTGTCCATTTCTTCAGATCATCCTTGGGATGGTTCTACACCTTTATTTGAGTCTAGCCGTGTTTGATTATACTGATAAGACTTGATTAGAAAAGCCACACAACATTCTATATGAGACCTTGCAGCTCACAATGCACATCAGAGCAAATAAGACTCATGTTGTCTAAGAAACCGCCTGAAGTGCTCAGACAGAATTGTGGCAAGGCAAAGATCTGGCCAAGGTTACAAAAAGATTCTGCTGCACTCAAGGTTCCTAAGATCACTGTGGTCTCAATAATCCCTAAATTGAAGATGTTTGAGACGACCAGAACCCTTTTTAGAGCTGGCCTCCAGCCAAACTGAGCTTTAGGGTAGAAGTTGTTGTAGAAAAAAGAAAAAGTTTTAAAAAGTCAACCACTACTACAGCCTGCCACCAGTCAAGCTTTATGGCAAAATGGAAAGACGGAGGTGACAACATCATGCTGTGGGGGTGTTTTCCTGCAGCAGAGAAAGGATAATCAGTAGCAATTGAGAGAAAGATGAACACAGTCAAGTTAAGGGATATCCTGGACTAAACCCTTCCCCAGAGAGCTCAGAACCTCAGACTGGGCCAAAGGTTTACCTTTTAACAAGACGATAACACAATGTGCACAGCTTAAACAATGAAGGACTCAGACTCAGACTCAGCTTTATTATCCCGTTAGGGAAACTAAATTGCAACAAGGTACCATACACAGGCGAAGTTCCATGTACACATTAAAAAAAAAATAAATAAATAAAAAAATAAATAAATAAATAAATAAATAAATAAAAAAATAAAAATATACTACTATACAACATCCATACATCAATATATAGAAACATCCCCCTCCCCCCTGGACTCATTTAATGACCTAATGGCCACCATTATAAAAGAATTTCTGGTTCTATTTGTCCTGCAAATAGGAACCCTAAAACGACGTCCTGATGGCAACAGCTGAAATACAGAGTACAGTGGGTGATCCGGGGTGCATAGGATACCCTGAGCTCTCCTTAGTACATGATTTTGGTAGATTACCATTAGACCAGTCTGATTAAAACCAATGATCTTGCCTGCCACCTTCACCAGGCTGCTCAACCTGTTCTTGCTTGACACACTCAGATTGCCGTACCAAGCTACAATGCAAAAAGATAAAACAGATTCGATAAATTGTTTATAAAACAGCGTCATCATAGAGGTAGAAACCTGAAATGATCTAAGTTTCCTCAGAAAAAACAGTCTTTGTTGGACTTTTTTATATACAGCCTGGGTGTTAGGTTGAAATGTCAACATATTATCAATAACAACCCCTAGATATTTATGTGTGTCAACAATTTCAATGTCCAAGCCTTTGATATTAGTTATGTTTGGGGTTGGAGAAGCCTTCCTGTAATCTATCACCATATCTTTTGTTTTACTTGCATTCAACTGGAGAGAAAATCTATCACACCAGGAAGTAAACTCCTGCACAGCAGGACCATGCCCCAAATCCTGATCGTGGAGGAGACTTACAATCACAGAATCATCTGCATATTTAATGATATGACAATCCCTGTGAATACTACGACAGTCATTAGTATACATGATGAACAAAAGAGGTGAGAGGCAGCAACCTTGGGGTGACCCAGTGGAACAAAACTGGAAGTCAGAAAGAGCACCATTAACTCTGACACACTGTTGACGTCCAACTAAAAAATCAAGAATCCATCCACAAATATTAAGATCCAAGTTAAAAAGAGAAATTAATTTCTCCACCAACAAATGTGGCTTCATAGTATTAAAAGCAGAAGAGAAATCAATAAACAACAATCTGGCATGAGTCTTAGGCTTTTCCAGGTGATTAAACAGGTAATTTAACATTGTAAGATTGGCATCTTCAACTCCCCTGCTCTGTCTAAAAGCAAACTGCAATGGATCAAATTTATCCTTTGACTGCAATAAAATCTCACCTTTAATAAATCTCTCAAAACACTTCATGACTAATGAAGTAAGAGCAACAGGTCTAAAATCATTTAACTCTCGGGGAAACTTGGTTTTAGCTATAGGAACAATAACAGATTTCTTCCAGATTTCAGGGACCCTTTGTAGCATAAGAGACTGTGAAAAAATGTAATGAAATATTTCAGAAAGCTGTTCCGCACACGTATGTAGCACCCTACCACCAATATTGTCAGGACCCGGACTTTTTTTAGTATTAGTTCTCTGAAGGAGGCCTTTGACCTGAATTCTACTAATGTTTACGGAGTTACTACATGACAGATGTTGTTTTAAATTGTCATTTTCTGACTTAAAATCATCCTCATCAAACCTTAAGTAAAATGTATTTAGTTCCTCAGCAAACTCTCTCGCAGAACTAAAACCATTTAAATTGATTTCACTGCCCCCTCTATCTTCTTTACACCCAGCCATTGCCTTCACCCCTTGCCAGGCTGATCTTAAATTATTACTGCTCAGCTGTTTCTCAATTTTGTCCTTATACCTAATTTTATCCTTGTTTATTTGCACTCTCACTGCCTTTTTTAATTGCTTAACTGAGCTCATATCACCCTGTTTAAAATATTTATGTTTACTTTGCAGGAGAGATTTTGTGTCATTTGACAGCCAAGGTTTGTTATTTGGAAAGTCAATAACAGTTTTGTGAGGGATAATCATATCTGTGCAAAAAGATATGTAATCACACACTACTTCTGTAAGTTCATCAATACTTTCAGATGTCTCTTTAAAAACGGACCAGTCTGTACAATCGAAACAACCCTGAAGGGCCAGTGAATTGTCCTCTGACCATACTTTAATTTCCCTCTTCCGCACCTTCTCCCTCCTCAGCACAGATTTATATACTGGGAGGAGGTGTACCACGTTATGATCAGAGAAGCCGACTGAAGGAGTAGCTTCACAACAACTCCGTGACTGAATGGCCCAAACAGAGCCCTGATCGAAACACAATTGAGCATCTCTGGAGAGATCTAAAAATGGCTGTCCATCAACATGTACCATCCAACCTGACAGAGCTGAAGAGAATCTGCAAAAACAAATGGCAGGGGATCCCTAAATCTAGGTGTAAAAAACATATTGCACCTTTCCCTCAAAAAATGTATAGCTCATTAAAAGGGTGCTACTACTTAAAACTGACAAAAGGGTCTGAATATTTTGTACAATGTGATATTTCAGTTTGTGTATTTATTTATTTATTTTTTATAAATCTGCAAAAATGTCAACAATTCTTCTATACTATATTGTTTGATTTGAAAAATTACATTATGTTTTTTCAAAATAATTTTATTTAAGGATTATTAAAAAACTAATCTCTAAATGGAAAGGTTGGTTTGTTGGATGAATGTATCAAATCATACTACATCTGTTGTGTTATGACATGTCTACATGGTTTCAATGTGCCCTCTTAGTTTAAATAAAGAAAGAAAACAATCAACAAGTATTATGTTGAAAATAAGAATGCTAACCACAAGACAGAAAATGTTGTTTACTTGTATGATTTTAAATAGTTTTAGAAGACGACTTTCCCATCATTTGTTTCTTTGTGTTTTTTTCTGGTTTGAGTAAAATTATGTAACATTTCGGAGCAAATATGCAAAATAGTAAACCAAAACTTGAAGATAAGATAGCAAATATCTCCACTGCTACTGTGAATTTTCCAGGAGAGCTGACATAAGCTGGAATGAATGTGAGCCAAACAGCACAAAATATGAGCATACTAAATGTGATGAACTTGGCTTCATTGAAGTTATCAGGGAGTTTACGAGCAAGAAAAGCTAAAATAAAACACAAGACAGATAGCAGGCCAGTATAACCCAGAACGGCCCAAAATCCCAAAGCTGAACCCAAATTACATTCCAGGATGATCTTTTCTCTGTAATAGCTCAAATTCTTATATGGGAATGGAGGAGAGACAGTTAACCAAACAACACAGATAATCACCTGTATTAATGTTAAAAAAACAACACTGAGTCGTTGTTGTGTAGGCCCAAACCATTTCATGACATTACTTCCCGGAAGTGTAGCCCTGAAGGCCATTAACACCACTATTGTTTTCCCCAGAACACAGGAAATACAGAGGACAAAAGTGATCCCAAATGCTGTGTGACGCAACATACAGGACCACTCAGTGGGACGACCAATGAAAGTGAGTGAACAAAGAAAACACAGTGAGAGTGAGAAGAGCAGCAGGAAGCTCAGTTCTGAGTTGTTGGCTCTGACAATAGGTGTTTCTTTGTGAAGATAGAACAAAAAAGATACCATTGCTGTTAATAACAATCCAATAAAGGAGAATATACAAAGCACCATCCCCATGATTTCAGTATAAGAGAGGAATTCGATCACTTTTAACACACATTTTTCTTTTCTTTCATTTGACCAGTACTCCTCATCACAAGGAGAGCAGTCACTAGAGTCTGTCAGGGGGGAAAAGGAACAGTGTGAGGATTGGACAATAAATTTTAATTCAAAGTACTTTTTTGAGAGTTAACCAGCATGAACTGCTTTACCAGTGTTGTTACTTATTTCTCCATCTGCACATGGAATACAATCAAAACAGCAGACCGGTCTTCCTTTTTGCACAGCCTTCCTAGTTCCAAGGGGGCAGCTCTCACTGCACACGGATACAGGCAACTATGAAAAAATAAGCTGTCATATAAAAGGCCTATAGGAGTATGATTAAATATTTAAATGTAATATACTGACTGTAATATACTTCTAAATACTGTTGTATTTTCAAAAGCTTTTTGACTCTCTGATGTCATATATTTTAAAACAAATATGCCAAATTGATTGTTTTGAGAATTTTCTCATTACCTTATTTTGATACAGTAGAAAATAATACCTGTCTACTGTTATCTGCCCATAGCACATGTTCCTGATTAACCTGAAGACATTTCTCTGAAGGAAGTGAACTGTCATAGATGCCCACATTTTTAAACTGCAGACTTCCATCCCCAGAAGGTTGCCAGTTCACAAGATCATATCTTGCCACTGGATCACCACTTGTATCAAAAAATATTTCTTCACCTGTTTTGACAGTGAATCTTACATCTTTCATATAGTTCAGTACCTGAGGAGAAATATTAAAACTATTATGACAAATTCATTCATCCCTGAATCCTATTCCTATATCCTATATCTAATTTTTCACCCACCATTTGAGGTGTTGGTTGTTTTAATTTGCTCCTGTTGGCTGATTTGAAGTCTTGAAATATATTGTGTAGTGTATGTGCAACAGCATACACTGCTGTGTACACTTTATTGGCTATCCGTAGCTCTGAGGCATCAGTATATTCATTTTGTAAGTTTGCTAGTTTCTCTGAGCCAGTACACCCAACGCTTCCTCTGTTATTAAAAGAGCACTGGAATGTTGTTTCCCAGAATTCTTTTAAAAGTTTATTTTTCGGTTCATGATCAGGGTGCACATTCACTAGAAAATCTAGTAGGCCCACAAGTTTGACATTTGCTATAGAAAAGCCCACAGCTCCAGAAAGGAAACTATATTCCTTTGTTTCTGCTACAGTTCGGGATGTTATCCAAGATTCACTGCCAACCCACTGCAGCCCTGTAATGTTTTGTTGCGCAATTTCTTTTAAAAGTGGGTAAAAATCTCTTAATGCAACAAAAGCTAACACAACCCTCGCAGTGCCCTTCTTTATCACTTCTACTGTCTTCAGAAATTGATCTTGTGGATCAGTTCTTAATATGGCCTCTGAGTATTCAATACAAATCCCCTCTTTTTTTGCTGCTTCCTCGAATGTTGCAATGCCATTATTGCCATAATCACTGCGACTCCTGACTGTACCAACCCAGGTCCAGCCAAAGTGCTTAACAAGCTGAGCCAGTGCTCTGCTTTGGTAATAGTCACTGGGGATCGTTCTAAAGAAGGATGCATACCTTTTTCTGTTACTCAAGCAGGCACATGTGGCAAAGTGACTGATCTGCAAGAGGAGAAACAGAATATTTTATTCACTTATTTAATCAAAAGTAATATATACAGTATATAATTATACTGTAAATACAATTTACATACTTGCATTAAAGATTGTGCAACTAATGAAAAAAAAAAAAAGGAAAAAAAAAACACTTGCCACAATAACAAGCCAATAAGCAAGGGTTCTTACAACAGGTAAACTGAATGGACCAGCTATAGAAGCCAAGGCTATGGTGGGAGAGGAGTTTGACTCTCCTACAATGGCATTAACAGCTGGTGGTCTAGAGCAGGATGTATCGCTCAAAGTTTCTTCATAACCATTCATCAAAGCCATGCCTGAGAATATAGCTTGAGCTATTGAGCCACATGAATCATATATCTTATAGCCCAAAGACACACCAGGCAATAGCTGTGTGTTGTTATTAATCTCTTCGATGGCAAAAATCAGTGTTTGAGCAAATTTAAACTCACGCAAACTTAAGCTGTAAAAATAAAGCATTATTTGCATTAAACTGTACAAAGTATAAACAAATCAATCATTTTATATTATTATATCATATTACAAACCTGATGCATGCAGTTGACTCTGGCTTGAAAGTAAAAGAATGCATCTTTAGCAGAGCACTAATGTGGATTGAGAATATTGCCCCAATGTTGATGTCTCTTTCTGCAGAAAGTAGAGGGAGTGCAGGCTGACTCAGCAGTCTGCAGACTTGTGCCAAAGCTGAAACACTTATGCCATACACTATCAGCAGCAGTACTGGCAGTGACACAATCTTCTTTGCCATGCTAATATATATGCAAGGCAGAAACCTCTGAAGCACAACAGTGATGGTGCTACCTTTTATTGCATCTTCATGTCCTTTGGGTCTGGCAGTATGAATCACTTACTCTGGTTGCTTTTGAGGGTGACACGGTGGCTCAGTGGTTAGCACTGTCGCCTCACAGCAAGTAGGTTGCTGGTTCGAGTCCTGTCTGGGTCAGTTGGCATTACTGTTTGGAGTTTGCATCCACTTTGCTATTTGATGTCGTGGGTTTCTTCCTGGTGCTCTGGTTTCCCCTACAGTCCAAGGATATATGATATAGGTGAATTGAATTAACTAAATGGGCCTTAGTGTATGTGTGTGAATGAGTATGCATGGATGTTTCCCAGTAGGTTGTAACTGGAAGGGTTTCCGCTGTGTAAAACATATGCTGGATAAGTTGGCAGTTCATTTCGCTGTGGCGATCCCTGATAAATAAAGGGACTTAGTCAAAAGAAAAAGAATGAATGGTTGGCTTTTTACACTCATGTTTCTTTATGGAAATAAAACAATTGTGAAGTGAGATATTGAGGAAGATTTTTTTTTATTGTTGTCTTAAAGATTATTAAAGTTTTCCATTGCCACCTCAATTTAATTTCCATAAACTGTTTAACATTGAGTCACATCTATCAGTTATTTCAGTTATGTGTGGTTTATTTTTTGCTTTATAGTGAATATAATGAAGTTATTAGTCTTTATATTTTTCATTTGTGTACTTTTATTACCTTTCATCCTACATGTACTCGGATCATACACTCCACTTGTACTACTATACATGGCTCAACTGCCTGCAGACTGCAGATGTTTGGGGAGGTTTCCCAGGAGAGTTTCAGTGGTTCTTTGTTTATAATAGCACTAGACACATTTCTGAACCAGAGAACAGCCAGCCAATACCCGCTACTCAGATCATCAGCTAGAGAGCTGCATGTCACAATATGTCATCAACTGAATAGATGGAGTAGGAACTCTGCAGTTAATTTAATGGCCAGGTGTGTGACCTGACAACAATGCTTGTTAGGGGAGTTTAAGTGGATTGCGACAGACTGGAGATTTGTGGACTGTTACTTTCCCCCTGCAGGTTTTGTCAAGCAGTTACTTTTAAGTGCCCTCATTGACTTCGTTTACATGGACACCAATAATTCGATTTTAATGCGATTAAGACAATACACTGATTAAGAGTTAACCATGTAAACAGCGATTTTTGATTTTTTTTAATCAGGTTAAGGTCATAATCAAACTAAATAGAAATTGAATTAAGACGTGTGGAATATGTCGATTTTAGTCGCATTATTGAAGTGCATTACAGACATGTAAACACCATAAGTGAAATATTACCCTCATGTAGGACTTTTCGCAGTGGTTTGCGACAGGATACTCCACACATGTACGGCTGACACTCTTTGCACCAGTTAGTGCAAACCACAGACACCTGCATCGCAAAATGCTGAGGGTTTTTTTCTTCCATTCATCATGCGGTATGAACTTTCATTAAAACATCACTCTTCCAGCAGTTCATAGTTGCATCCTATATCTGGTTTGTCACGGAGGGCATGCATGAAATGTTCGTGAATTAAAGTGCAAGTGCCAAACTGCAGTTAAAGTCGACAAATCAAAAATTAAACATCCGAAATGACATGAAACTCCGGAAAAAAATGCGGATAGCACAATGACGTTAATCGAAATATGTGCTATAACATGTAAAACGGGATCTTGAAAGTAGCACTCAAAAAGCATCTCATGTAAACACCTTAGTCTTATTTTTCTCTTAATTAATTAAAGCAAATAATTTGATTAATGATGTCCATGTAAACAAAGTCATTGATTCTGTCCAACTACTTCTCTATATCAGTCAGTTCCTCATCATTAAACACCCACTCTTTACTTTGCTGCACATACATGTTTCTGGCTGTCTGTTCCCTCCATCCCTGCTGTCATTCTTACAGCCCTGTAATTGTTACCCCCTGCTTACCCTCAGCCTATGTAATTATGTGGGACTTCCTGTCACCAGCATCATCCAGTGGTGTTGTCCATTCATCTCTGCCTCTTGCCTGTACACTCCACTTCAGCTCTCCAACTTATCTGCTCCACCTTGGCTCATTCTTGCTTCATCACCACTGTTGCCCATCATCCCAACAGCACTGACATGATTCCTCATATCTCCAGCTTTTCCCTGGTCAGGCGTCATCCGGCCATAATTTCTGAATTGCTGATCTGTCCTTACAGCTAAATTTAGCTACTCCCTCCCACCAGCTTAACCTCAGACCTCCCATATTCAGATCTGTATAACCACAGCTATAGCCAGTGAGAGTATGGTAAGTATAACAAAACCATAAATACTTTGTGCTTACCATGGTTGACTGTGGTAACCACAATTTTTGATTTGAAACTTGAGGTGCACTTTTATGGCCTAGAATTCAAAGGAGTACCTAGATATATTGCTTGGTCCTCACACTCTTCATTGACTTTGACTGCAGACTATCAGCTTTAATTTGAAGAAACTTAAATCCAAATTAGGTGAACAGTGTAGGGATTACAACAGTTTGCAAATATGCCTCCCACTTGTTTAGGGACCAAAAGTAATGGGACAATTAGCCACTCAACTGTTCAATGACCAGCTGTGTGTTTTCCTTATTATCCCAATTACAACAAGCAGATAAAAGGTCCAGAGTTTATTATAAGTGTGCTATTTGTATTTTGAATATGGTGTTGCTATCAACTGATGAGATCCAAAGAGCTGTCCCTATCAGTCAAGCAAGCCATCATTTGGTTGAAATAACAAAACAAACCCATGAGATAGCAAAAACATTAGGCATGGCCAAAACAACTGTTTAGAACATTCTTTAAAAAAGAACACACCATTGAGTTCAGCAACGCCAAAAGACCCGGAAGACCACTGAAAAAAACTGTGCTAGATTTTTTTTTTTTTATCCTTGTGAAGAAAAAAATCCTTCACAACAGTTGGACAGATCAAGAACACTCTTCTGGAGATGCTTTACCAGAGTGAATACAGAGGGTTCATCACTAGATGTAAACCTTTGGAGAGTTTCAAAAAGAGGAAGGCCAAATTACAGTTCTAAAAAAGCCTTCACAGTTCTGGAGCAACTTCTTATGGAGAAATGACTCCAAGATCAACTTGTACCAGCGTTATGGGAAGAGAACAGTATGCAAAAGGAAAGGAACTGCTCAAGATTCTAAGCAGTGAAGCATGGTGGTGTTTTTTGTAGTTATTCATGATAAGACTGTTGACAAAAGCAGCAGAATGAGTTCTGTCTTTTGGGCAACATTATTTGCTCATATTCAACCAAGTGCTTCAGAACTCATTGGATTGTGCATCACAGTACATATTGACAATGACCCAAAGCATATTTCACAAGCAACCAGCAAGTTTTTAAAGGAAAATAAGTGGAATGTTGTGCAATTGCCAAGTCAATCCCCTAACCAGAATCCCATTGAGCATTCATTTCACTTGTTACAGACAAGGCTGAAGAGAAAATGCCCCAAGAACAAGCAGGAACTGAAGACAGTTGCAGTAGAGGCCTGGCAGAGCATCAACAGGGATGAAACCCAGCATCTGGCGATGTCTATGCTTTCCAGACTTCAGGCTGTTATGAACATCAAATGATTTTCAAACAAGTATTAAAAGATGAAACATGATTTGATTTATGATTAATATTCTGTCCCATTCATTTTGGTTCCTCAACAAGTCAGAAGCACATATGCAAACAGCCTGTGAGCTTAGCGGGACTATTACTTTAAGTGCAAAGCACTTATCTAAAGATTCCGCTTGACTCAAAACTGGACGCTTTACCCAGAATGTTCTTTGATGGTTATTAAGCCAACTTTAGTTTAAGATCTCAAATATGTGCAATTATCACTTAGTTATGGAGGTCAAGTATTGTTTCAATGAAGGTGCAAAATAAAATAAAAATAAAAGTTAAAAATAAGCAGGGAGAAGAAGTGCAGAAAGACGGTGAAAGTTAGCAAAGATTTGTTCTGGAATCTAAATCTCTCTCTCTCTCTCTCTCTCTCTCTCTCTCTCTCTATATATATATATATATATATATATATATATATATATATTAAGGGTGGAGCCGAACCCGAATACGGTATTCGGAAAGGCACGAATAGCGTGTTTTTACGAACACTTAGTTCGAACAAATACTTGAAAAATTATTTGTATTCGGGAGCAAGAAAAGCATTATATCAAAAAGCTGCGTTTCCTCCTGAGACCACAGTGCGTGAGTGAGAGAGAGAGCGAGAGAGAGAGAGAGAGAGACGGAGGGCGGGGCGGAGGTAAAAGGTCTCTGGCACACGCTTCTCCACAGCAGCAGACAGAGAAGGCTCGGTTGAGCGAAAAAAAATACTTCTCTGCATCACTATTTTGTACCTTAATTGGGTTCCAGATGCAGTTCATAAACTTGTAGCGGAGTTTGTTCGGGATTTTCCATTACGCTGCATTTTTGAAGTTTGCAACTGGGTGCTCTGTTTACGCAACGTTAGCTCTGTTAGCGCGGTAATTTAGACAATAGACTGTTGACAGAGTAACGTTAACGTTTGTTTATAAAGGTTAAAACGATGCTTTTGCAGTTGTGTCGAATAGTATGCACCTATGGGAGTTATATGGTACTTCTACATTACTGTCTTTTGCAGACAGCAAGATATATGCTATAGGCTAGTTAACCTTAGCATAGCTTCCCGTCACTTTTTATTAACTTGAAACTCCTCAAATACATTTGGGCACCATGAAAAAGAGTGAGAGTGCTGCTGAGCCATTTCTTAGTCCTCCACCAGTAAAAAAAAATAAAACTTCATGTTCTTTGTGGAAGCATTTTACAGTCAGTGGTGCTGCAGATAAAACAAAGTGATTCTGTATGTAATGTGTGCAAAAGTGAAATCAGCAGAGGCAGAGATATTAAACATCTGTCAACATCTTCTATGCATAATCATTCATTTTCTTTTCGGCTTAGTCCCTTTATTAATCTGGGTTTGCCACGGTGGAATGAACCACCAATTTATCCAGCATATGTTTTACACAGTGGCTGCCCTTCCAGCTGCTACCCAGCACTAGGAAACATCCATACACTCTCTTTCGCACACATACAATAGGGACAATTTAGCTCACCCAATTCACCTATATTGCATGTGTTTGGACTGTGGGGGAAACCGGAGCACCCGGAGGAAACCCACGCCAACATGGGGAGAACCCAGTCGAGGCTCGAACCAGCAACCTTCTTGCTGTGAGGCGACAGTGCTACTCACTGTGCCACCGAGCAACCTTCTATGTAATGTATTATCACATGCACTAAAAGCATCCTCTCCTGATACTGTCTGTGAACCCCCCACAAGCATCAATCCCCTCAATCAGCACAGCTTTGCTCTGCTAAAACCTCCACAAGCACCAAACCATCAACACAGCCACATTCTGCCAGATGACAATAGCAGGGCTGTATCTTTTAGTATTATATAGAATACTTTTGTTCTGCCAGATCTCCCAGGCAGGGTTTTATTTAGATTTATTTAGTTAATTTTAGTTTTTGGAATTCTGTCCATTGGAAAGAATTTCTTTTAGAAGAAGAACAGTTTTTTTTAAATATTATTTGTTTTTATTCTGTCTATTCAGTGTCCTTCAACAAGAACGGTGGTGGTGGGGTTCATAATATTCACAATGGTATTTTATTAGTTGTTGGTTTAACCATGGATGAGATAATGGCTTCTATGTTATTTTCTTTTCAATTACATTTCTTGTCACATGTTCAAAAACAACAACCAATATTGCATATCTATAATTTATATAATGGGTATAATTAAACAATACTTTCACTATAACGTAAATTAGAAGTGTAATAGAAAAAATATATATTTTTGCGGCATTTTGAATTTTACTCGAATACAAATACAAATACAAATACTTTTCCCCCTTAACAAATACAAATACAAATACAAATACAAATACCAGCTGCTCCGCACATCCCTAATATATATATATATATATATATATATATATATATATATATATATATATATATATATATATATATTTTTTATATACACTGATTTATTTTAACATGCGAACAGCATCATACAGAACATATAAACATATTAAACCTTCAATCACCTGCAGCATTTCGAACGGCATAGAAAAAAAGAAAATGAATAAAGTACATAGGACTGGGGGTCTGCGCCTCACAGCAAGAAGATTGCTGGTTCAAACCTCAGCTGGGTCAGTTGGCATTTCTCCCCATGTTCATGTGGGTTTCCTCTGGGTGCTCAGGTTTTCCTCACAAGTCCAAAGACGTGGTATAGGTGAATTAGGTATGCTAAAATTGACCATAGTGTATGTGTGTGTGAATGGGTGTGTATGGATATTTCCCAGTGATGGGTTGCAGCTGGAAGGGCATCCGCTGCATAAAACATATGCTGGATAAGTTGGCGGTTCATTTCACAGTGGCGACTCCAGATTAATAAAGTGGCTAAACCGTAAAAATAAAATGAATGAATGAATAAATAGGCCTGCCCTAGATATGTTTTACTTAAAATCCTATAGAAAGTTGGAAACCTGTAACTATTAACTCCAGGCACGTGCACACATAGGGCTCAACCTGCGCAGTGCACATGCCCTTTTTAGTCTTGGATAGAAAGTGCCCTTCCAAAATGATCTGAAGTGCCCCAGCGAACCTCACCTATCCCACCCCACCGGTCTTCAGTTCTCTTGCTACAACTACCCCCCATATAGTGAGCAAATAGTGAGTAGATTTTCACTTTTGGCTGAACTATCCCTTTAAGAGCAGAAAATGTGAAATTCAGTAAGCAACACCCACAACATGGAAACCAGAGTACAGGGACCCAAGCGCTGTTATATAAGACAGTGGCAGAGAGTAAACTACCAGTTAGGACCTTAGAATGGTTTTCTTACACACCTGGCTTTTTTTTACACTAGTGAGAGCAGCCAACCCTCCATGCAAGTTATTGGGGCCTCCTAACATACCTCAGTTTAGCAAAGACGGTGATGTGACAATCGGGGGCATTTTCTCTTTCCACAACAGCTGGGAGGAAATTATGCCCACATTCACATCAAAACCAGAACAGCCAAAATGCAAGAGGTAAGTGTATAGGGAGAAACATGTTGACTGAAAAAAGTTAAAATAAGGTAAAAAAAAAAAAAAAAAAAAGACACATGATGTTTGAATACATGTTTTACCCTGTGCTTCTATGACATTCATATTTAAAAATACCAGTGTGTACTTTTTAACCTTTTCATTGCATACTTTTTTTATCGAATATTTGCATGCCTTCATTCTATTTATTTATTTTTTTCTTTCTGTAGTTTGAGTCTCAGAGAATTTCAAAATGCACAGACAATGATATATGCCATTGAGGAAATCAACAAGAGAGCTGATATTCTTCCTGGTCTAAGTTTGGGTTACAGAATCTTTGATTCATGTGGATCCATTGAAATGGCTCTCAGAGCCTCTCTGTCATTAGTTAATGGGGAAAATGCCTCACATTTATCCTGTCAAAGACCAAAAACAGTCCAAGCAATCATAGCAGAAACATCCTCTACTCCTACCATTGCCATCTCTGCCACTGTTGGACCGCTGCATTTACCGGTGGTAAGTAGCTTTCTTCCGATTGTTTAAATCACAAACTAGGCGTTTCTGACTTTTTTTTTTTTTTTTTTTTTTTTTGCAATAGTGGTGAAGATAAAAAAAACAAATAAATGAAAATAAAAACATTTTATTTTCTTCTTTTCCCTTTTTTCTTTTTTTTAACCCCAAAGATTAGTCATTTTGCAACATGTGCCTGCCTCAGCGACAGAAAGAAACATCCCTCATTTTTCAGGACTGTTCCAAGTGATTATTACCAGAGCAGAGCACTGGCCAAACTAGTCAAGTATTTTGGCTGGACCTGGGTAGGGGCTCTTTGCAGTGATAATGACTATGGAAACAATGGCATGAACACTTTTATCAAAGCAGCTACAGAATTTGGAGTCTGTGTAGAATTTTCTGAAGCATTCTTCAGGACTCATCCCAGGGAGGAAATTTTAAGAATCGTGGATGTTGTAAAGAAATCAAGCTCAAAAGTGATTGTTGCCTTTGTATCATACTCAGACATGGAAGTTCTTTTATTGGAATTAGCTAAACAGAACATTACTGGGCTACAGTGGATTGGTAGTGAATCCTGGATCTCTGATATGAACATTGCTACTGGTAAATGGCAATACATTCTTAGAGGGTCTATGGGCTTTGCCATCCCAAAAGCTGAAATTCAAGGATTAAGGGAATTTCTAATTAAAATCCACCCATCTTCCAACATATATCTGTACAAAGAGTTGTGGGAATCAGTGTTTCAATGTAGACTTTCCACAGAACAAAGTTCTGAAAGCAAGAGCATGTGCACAGGCAATGAAAGTTTAAACAATGTGCAGAACCAGTACACAGATGTTACAGAATTACAAATAGCCAATAATGTTTACAAGGCTGTGTTTGCCATTGCACATGCACTGAACAGCTCAGTTGGCTGTTCAAAATGGGACACAAATCAAAGAGAATGTAATACATGGCAGGTAGTGTACATATTGTAGATTGGGGAATTTCTTGTCAGATGTTTACAAATTTTCTATTTGTATGTATTGAAATTGTACATATTTGAAATTTACAGGTACTTCAAGCCCTAAGGGAAGTGAGTTTTTTCACTGAAACGGGTGAAAAGGTATTCTTTGATAAAAATGGAGATCCGGCAGCAAGGTATGATCTCTTGAACTGGCAGCAGGGGGAAGAAGGGGCAACAAAGTTTGTTAAAGTGGGTTTCTATGATGCCTCCCTACAACCAGAATTTCAACTTTCCTTTAATAACATCACCATCATGTGGGCCAAGAATCAACATCAGGTAAGATTTGGGAGCATCTGATACATATCATAAATGAAAAGCATGCATTTTAATGGTACAAAATATTGTTCTACAGGTGCCTGTGTCTGTTTGCAGTGAAAGCTGTCCCATGGGCACTAGGAAGGCTGTGAAAAAAGGAAAACCTCTTTGCTGTTATGACTGTATTCAATGTGCAGAAGGGGAAATAAGTAATAAGACAGGTACAGTGTGAATTGAAAAAATATAAAATTATTAATAAAATTATTAATTTATATATATATATATATATTTTTTTTTTTTGTTTGTTTTGTTTTTAATTCTCAGATTCAGTGATGTGTCTCAAGTGTCCTCCAGAATTTTGGTCCAACAAATGGAGAGATACATGTGTCCCAAAACTCGTTGAATTCTTATCATTTGAGGATGTGATGGGAATTGTTTTAATAATATTTTCTTTATTGGGTGTGTCTTTTACTTTGGGTATTGCTATCATTTTCTTTGTGCATAAGGACACACCAATAGTAAAAGCCAACAACTCGGAGCTAAGCTTCCTGCTGCTCTTCTCACTGACTCTGTGTTTCCTCTGTTCACTCACTTTCATTGGTCGACCCACTGAGTGGTCCTGTATGTTGCGTCACACAGCGTTTGGGATCACTTTTGTTCTCTGCATCTCATGTGTTCTGGGGAAAACAATAGTGGTGTTAATGGCCTTCAAAGCTACACTTCCAGGAAGTAATGTCATGAAGTGGTTTGGGCCCTTACAGCAAAAACTCAGTGTAATTACTTTCACTCTGTTACAGGTTGTAATTTGTGTGCTTTGGTTAACATTATCTCCTCCTTTCCCATACATGAACATGAATTATTACCAAGAAAGAATAATTCTAGAATGTAATTTAGGTTCAGCATTTGGCTTTTGGGCTGTTCTTGGTTATATTGGCTTACTGGCTATATTGTGTTTCATTCTGGCTTTTCTGGCTCGAAAGTTGCCTGATAAATTCAATGAAGCTAAATTCATCACTTTCAGTATGCTCATATTCTGTGCTGTGTGGATCACGTTTATACCAGCTTATGTCAGTTCTCCTGGAAAATTCACTGTAGCTGTGGAGATATTTGCTATTTTAGCTTCAAGTTTTGCTTTGCTGTTTTGCATATTTGCTCCAAAATGTTACATAATTTTACTCAGACCAGAAGAAAACACAAAGAAACACATGATGAGTAAATCATAAAATAATAAATTATAATAATAAAAAAACTAAATTAAATAAACTCATACATGCATAAATGCATACTTTTACCTTAACAAAAACCTTTCAAACAACTGCTCTTAAAGGGCCATGACACCCCCCACTTTCAGTTCAAGTCTACCTTAGAATTTAAAAAAAAAATACATAATAATGGGCGTGGAGCTCCGCGATCAGAGGCAGGAGTGGCCGTGGCAAGCAGGGCAGAAGGAGGGGAGCGAACTTCTGTTTGTAGGGATGGGCGATACCAATATTTTTTTTGTTTCCGATACCAAGTATTTCAAGACAAGTATCATCGATATCAATACTTGAATGAAAGATTTTATAGTGATTTTTTAAAATGTTTATCAACTTTATTATGAATATTATTAAATAAAACACAAGATTTAAGGTTCCTTTTTACATTTATTAAAATTACAGAACTATAATCGGCTTAATAGCACCATATATAATGAAAAACATTACACTCCTTTTGAGCCTGTATTTATTTATTTTACTGATTACATTTTTTGTTTTTGTTTTTGAAAAGTAAATTACAATAAAACAAATAGTTGCCTGACAAAAATTAAAAAAATCCTTGACCAAAAAAAAACAAAGGATGTCTTTGGGGCTAGAAGCAGCAGCTTTAATTTGTGCTTTCTGAATTTAATCAGTTTCCAGGTTTTTTGTGAAGGAACAACAGAATGTTGAAATTTTTCCCCTTTAGCCGATTTCTTCTTTGACTGATCAACTCCCCTGCTTTGGAAAAAAAATCTCTCAGAAGGGACAGATAATGCAGTGATCCCAATAAATTTTTTGCTAGTTTGCTAAGAGCAGGGAAAGTTTGCTCATGATTTCTCCACCAAATTAATGGGTCTTGGTTACGGGAAACTACTTTCTTCTCATCATAGCGACACATTTCAATTAAAGAATGACAGCTTCCCGATTGTTGTTGTTAAGATGATAGGACCTGGATGTCAAACTTCTCCCATATGCTTTCTTTAGATGTTCTTTATTCAGTACAAGGAGTCATCAGAGGAGTCACTGAAGAATTTGCTGTGGGTAATGACACAGACCTTACGATGTTGAGATAGCTTCTTGTGGTGCAGCAGCTAACTCAGGTGTGGCCATGTGGACATTCTGCATAACTGATAGGAGCCGCTTTTTAACTGCTTTAATGTGATCTTGGTCACGAAATGCTAGGTGCTTAAATCTGATGTCAAGAAAAGTACTGGCAGCAAGGCTGTGTATAGCTTCAATTCCATGGAATCTCCGCTGACATTGCTCTGCCAGCTCAGAGGCAAAAGAGCAACCTTGACGCTCACTGGCAGCAGTTGCTTTAAGGAGCAGTGTCACCAAGGGAATGATCTTTGAAATAGAAACATATTTTTCATCTCACACTTCACGTGTAGCCTCCTCAAAAGGTTTCAATGCCTTAATTGAGATGGAGAGAGCAGATCGCTCTTCATTCGTAAAACAAAGTTCACTCTTCCCAAGTAGAGAGTACAGTTGTAACTGGATACAGTTGTTCTTGTAGGCTTTCCAACATATAGAATGTGGAGTTCCATCTGGTCTCCACTGAAATTATTAGTTTGTGCTCTGTCATCTTTAGTTGCTTTTGTTACTCCTTAAGCTTCTCTAAGGCTTGTGCTGTGGTGTAAAAAAAGATGCATCTACATTTTTCCAGCAGTTGACAGATGTCAGGATATGCCTTTAATACATCTTTGACCACCAAGTTTAATGTGTGGGCAAAACATGGGTAATGTTTCCACCCAGCCTTATGCACTGCAGAAACCATATTTGCACCGTTGTCTGTGACAACTCCAAGCAACTTTTTGAGTTATATTCCATTCTTCAGAAATTCTTCTCAGCTCTGCACTAATTTTGTTAGCTGTATGTCATGGGCTGAAATTACATGTCTCCAGTACAAATTATTGTTTTTCTAATTTGTTAAAATGACAGTTAGATATGCCTCTGTGGACTTTGAGGTCCACATATCTGTTGTTAGCACCACATGGTTTACATTTTCTAATGTTGTCTTTACTTTGGCTTTACAGTCATCATACATGTTGTGTATTGTACCGTCCATCCTCCTTTTCTTGTAAGGGATTTTGTAACGTGCGTCAAGAGTCATGAGAAGTAAAATAAATCCTCTATCTTCTACCACTGAGATTGGCTGGAGGTCCCTCACAATTATCTCTCCTATGCTTCTTGTAATTGCTGATGCTCTTTAGGAGTCATCTAAGAAATATAATATACTGTATATTCTTAAAGTTGTGTTACAGGCATTCAAAAATATATAATGTTAAATCTCTCCCATTTATTATGTGTATCTAAACTTTGTATTTTATTTGATAAACAAATTTATTTAAAACTATTTAAACTGAACTACAAAAATATTTAAATCAAAATATCTTGAGTACAATGTTATTCTGATCCCTGTGAAATGTAACAGAAATCTGATATATGCCGATTTACGCAAATTGATATGTAATCATGTTAATCGTAAGTAATTTATTAATCAAATCATATGTAATTATTCCCCCTCAGCATATGACATTTATAATTTGTATGTGTATCTGTGTTTATACGAACATATATCAGATTTTATCCTAATATAAACTGAATTGTATGTATTAAACTTGGCTCGACCTTTTTGTGTTAAAATAATTCCCACTTGGTACCTAGATAATGACTTCTAATGATTTCTGATACAGCTCCGTTTTCGAGTTTTACAACCTTCGCTGGGTGTGTGTGGTGTCTGTTCTACTGGCTGTAAGCTAACGCTGACTTATTAGCGGAGATACGGCAGAAGAATATTATAGTTCCCATTCATGTTCTTTTTTAAGTAAATATTTATAGAGTATGCGGCACTATAATTATTGAGCTATTCTAAAATCTCTGATCACTCAGTAAGAAACCACCCAGAAAAGATTGATACTTTTACTTAAGGATTGATCCTTTTGATACATTCCCAGTATCGAAAATATCGATACTTTAGGATCGATCCGCATGATTTTATAGTTTATAAAGTTAAAATACAAAGAAATAATCAGTCATTTATTGCCCTGCTACATTTGTCATTTGTAATTACATATAAAGACAACCAAAATTAAATCATTATAAAGATAATCGTGTTTATATTAACACTATAAATTAGGACTTTTCCCTCAATCCCCAGGTCTGAATGCAGACTTAGTGCAGCAGGTCTCTTGCCCTGCTGTTAATCTGGCGGATTTAGGCGAACACAACAGCACGGCAATGTGTCTAAATGTGAACAAACTCCACTGATAAAAGACAAAGTCCGCCATTCTTCGCCATATTCGTATTGCTCTCCCAACGAAAATGCTTGCCACACACAAACAGCTTTGCTGTGTCGGCCCTGACATGATCGTGGGAAAAACATGCAACAAACCTTGTGGATCATAGAAAACAGACACATACGACCCTTCATGAACAGCTAAATACTGTGTGCTGTGGGTCCGTGGACGCGGTCTCACCCAGTCACTAACAGGTTCTCATAGCTTCGCACTGGCAGGTCTGTGTCTTGCCTTCGGAAACACACACAGTCATGAATAATTAAGAAGCCGGCTCTTCTTATTGGATAATAAAACTCTGCTATGAATAATAATGAGAAACCAAAGCTTCATCTTTGCACTTGCAGTTTTGCCTTTAAAGGGTCATGACACCCCCTACTTTCGGTTCAGGTCCACCTTAGAATTTTTTCAAAAGATGCATCATAGTGGGCGTGGAGCTCTGCGAGCAAAGGGCAAGTGTAGGCGTGGCCAGCAGAGCAAGGGAGAAGGAGGGGAGCGAGCAACTGTCAGTATTGATGGGAAGTTCAGATCATTTTACTGATTCGGATCTTTGAGTCTTGTTCATCGAAATAAACTAATCTTTTTTCAAGTCATTTCATTCATTTGGTTCAATTTGCCAAAATTTTATTAAAATGTTACAAATTGCTTTTAAACACATCTACTACTAGCCCAAAAGGTTGATCACACAACAAATAAGTCATAAATAGAATACAATAAGAAGGAGAAAATAACAATTCAATGTTTACCTGCTCTTTTGTCTATGAATGTATTGTCTCTTTGCTCAGCTCACCTCTTCAAATGTCAGTGGTTCGTTCACGTTACACTGACAGTCAATTATAATCTTAACCAATATACACAGTCTGAGTCGATAGGAGCCATGAAAATTAGTTCACCTTTCAATTCAATTCTTTTTCCGGCTCTAAACGCATATAATTGGCCCGTAAAGAACAAATGACTAAATCTTGATAGAGGACTCGAGAGATGAACGGATCAATACTTTTTCCGGCTCTAAACGCATAAGATTGGCCCGTGATGAAAGAACGACTCAGACCCGATAGAGGACTTGAGAGATGAACGGATCATTTCTTTTTCCGGCTCTAATTGCATATGATTGGCTTTCACCTTTCCGCGATAAACGACTCAAGACTTGAAATGAATGATACCACCCTTCACAAATGTGTGCACGCGCGGATGAACAAATCACTCCCTGAGAGGACTCTTAGTTCCCGAATTACATTTAAGATTTGTTCAAAATTAACAAATCATTCATGAACGACCCATCACTAACTGTCAGTCGATTCACAAAATGAGACACAAACCATGTGAAGACCCATGATTTTATAGTTTAAAAAATGTAAGAAATAAACAGGAATTTAATGCCCTGCTACATTTGTAATTTAATATACACATAACTACAATTTATATCATTATAAAGATAATCGTGTTCATATCAACACTAAATGAGGACTTTTTCCCTCAATCCTCAGGTCTAAATGCAGACTCAGTGCAGCAGGTCTCTGCCCTGTCTTTTTTAACCATTATCCCTGCTGGTAATCTGGAGGATTTAGGTGAACACAGCAGCACGGCGATATGTCTAAATGTGAACTAACTCCTGATAAAAGACAACGCCTGCCACTCCCCAATTCTCGTACTGCTTGCAGCACACACAACTTTGCTGTATAGGCCCTGACAGGATCGCGGGGAAAAACATGCAACAAACCCCGTGGATCATGGAAACAAACACATACGACACTTCATGAACGACTAAATACTGCGTGACGTGGGTCCACGGATGCGTCTCACCCAGTCATCAACGTAGGATTTTACAGCTGAGCTTGGCACTGGCAGACAGGTCTGTCTCAGGTCAGGTTTTGTCTTTGGAAAACACGTGCTCTTATAAATATTTAAGAAATTGGCTCTTCTCATTGGATATGAAAACTCCGCTATGATTAATAATGAGAAACTGACGCGTCATCTTTGCATTTGCAGTTCTGCGATAAGTCCTGATTTTGATCACGCCCCAAAAATCATTTTAAACCCGAAAGCTGAAATTAGCAGACAAAAGCTCAAAATTACCGTTTTCCCCACAATTAAAGCTAACAGTTGCTAACATTGTCCTAACTGATGCTCAACACACACAAATCTGTTTAAATCTAAAAAAATCGGGCTCAGTAAGGGGCAGAGTTCAAGAGGGAGACAGCTCTGGGGAAAAAGCTGTTCCCCTTCGGGGGGAACTCCAGCACGATAAGTGGATTTGATTGTTAAAATCCACGTATGGGAGGTTCGGTTCAGAAGCTACTCGTCTGAAAGAGTATTGAACGGGCCAATTAAGAATGAATTGGCAGCGCAAGCCTGCGCAGGTGAGCGGCATAAGCAATCAACTGAGTATATAAGCTCACCTGGCGCCTGCAGACGCTATCCTTTTCGCTTCAGAGACTTTCTGATCGAGTCGATGAGGGTTCCTCCTGCTGTGACCAGCGATTCTGAGCGAACGAGAGCATTCTCCCGGTCCAGAGTGTGTACACGCAGCGGCAGACGGTCGAGCTGGGTTTCTCCCTTGCCTGGCGTTCTTTGGGTCCGGTCCTCCAGAGCGGTGCGTATAAAGTTGCAAACTTCACAGAAAGAGCAACACAGTCGTGCAGCACGTCCTTTTCAGGATGGCGCTCCGACTGTGCGTTTCTGGATGCGGTGGTTTCCTGTCCTCGGATGATGGGCGCGGGCACTGCGTTACATGTCTGGGGGTCCAGCATGTTAATGCGCTGCTCGCGGGCAGTTAATGTCGTCATTGCGATGCCATGACTGTTGCGCAAGATCGCGGTTAGCCTTTGCAAAAAGGCGAACCACCCCAGTTGTCCCCTGCTCTGCAGCGGGCACTCGGGCAGATCTGAGGGTTTCAGCGAGAGATAATCCGTCGCCCACGGGCCCGCGGACCTCCCGCTCCTCTAAGCGCTCCATCCAAGCTTCGGGCGGGGGAAGCGATCCGTCTAACAGATGGTAGCCCTTACGCCCGATGACACCGGAGACCAGATGTCCACCGCGGCATCGGAGGGTGGGCTTTCATTGTCCGATGATGATCCAGACCCGCTCGCCCCCTTCGGGCTGGTGAGTGCTGTCACTACGTATCCTGAAACGGACATGTTAGCCGTGCTTTCCCGGGCTGCTTCGGCCGTGGGTTGGAGATGGTTTATCCCCCAGCTCCGCGGCCGGACCGACTAGAGGGGCGTTCCCTTCTTCCCGGAGGTGCACAGTAGGCTCACGCGGTCTTGTAAAGCACTTTTTTCTGCTCGTGCTGCGTGTCCCTCCACCCTAACCACTCTTGACGGTGAAACAGCCAGGGGGTATGTGGCGATTCCTCAGGTTGAGTGCGCGATGGCGGTAAATCCGCGCGGCGCCTCTTCTTGGCGGGGTCCGCCTCGTCTCCCATCCAAAGCCTGTAAGTTATCTACCTCCCTCGGAGCTAGAGCTTACATAGCTGCGGGCCAGGCTGCTTCCGCCTTGCATGCGATAGCCAACTACCAGCGCTACCAAGCGCAGGCGCTGGCCGAGCTGCACGAGGGTGGGTCCAACCCAGGCTTACGAGCTTCGCACCGCCGCCGACTTAGCTCTTCGGACTACTGAGTCCGCTGCGTGTGCGTTGGGGAGGACGATGTCCACATTAGTGGTCCAGGAGCGCCACCCCTGGCTGATATGCGCAAAGTCGACAAAGTCCGCTTTCTTGACTTCCCCATATCCCCAGCCAGGTTCGGCGACACTGTCTGTGAATTTACCCAGGAATTCAAGGCGGTGAGAGAGCAGTTGGTGGGTGATGTCTTATCGGCGGTCCGTAGCCCGCTCCGCTCGCCGTGCCATTCATACCTGCTCCTCGCCGAAGGCGCCCGCCTACGAGAGCTGCTCCGCCCCCGCACACCCCTCCGGCGAAACGAGCGCGTCGGGCACCTCCAAAGCAGGCAGCCCCCCTGCCCAGAACGCCGCTAAGTCCGGCAACGGACCGCGAAGCGCCCCTGGGACAGGCCATCTGGAGAAGAGGGAACTTGCTCTTTCCCCGCTGGAGGGCGGGGCCCCATTTCCAACGGCACTTTTTACTGCCATGAAAACATTATGAAAGGGCACTTTTCACTTCCCCAGATGTGACAGCCCGAAATCTGCCAGTCTGGGACGCTATGCTTTCTAGCTTGCAGATTCGGTGCGTTTCGCCAGTGGCTCACGAGCGCTGGGAGGACGGTCTCCTTTCTCCCACCCCTCGAGCCTCCTCTCCGGAGCTCGGGTTCGGAGTGAGAGCAAATATCTCGCCTCCAGCTTTTCCGTGGGACCCGCGAGCTTCCCG